GGGGGGGGCGGTGGCAGGCATACGTGCTATTTTAAAATTAGAATAAATTCACTCAAGCAAATGATTTGTTTCTGACTTTTAAATAACTTTAGCTCCTAAAATCTTTCCCAATGTTTTAAGTATCATTTAAAATGGGTAAGTAAGTAAAGTGAAAGTTTTATTCACGGGACAGAGACTTGTAATATGTGATGTGCTCTGACGTTTTCTATCCTCCCTAAAGATGCCACCAACCGCAAGCACCAAACTTCATAGTCTGTTACTCATCGTGATTCATCCTTTGGAAAACCACTGTTCTAGATCTAAAACTATGGATAAGAACTAAAGATCAGTCCAATATGGAAAGAGGAGCAGGCTGTTACCATGTTCCCTGTCTGTGTGCAGCACATGCACACATGCAAGTACATGCATGAGTAGGTCAAAACCCACCGACTGACTGGCTGAGCAGTTGGCAGTGAATCCCGAGAGTTCTAGCACCACGGTTACTGGTTGTCCGCCACATCACACGGCTTCTGGGGCTGGAGCTCAGGTCTTACCAAGCAAGCTATTCAATCCCTGCCCTCAGATTTCCTTATTTATAAAAGGTTTTTAATTACAGTGTCTTTCTTTGTGTGAATGGGTGCAGACACGGTACAGTGTATGTGTGGTGGTCAGACAATTTATGGAGCTTTGGTTAGGAGGATTCTGGGAATTGACTCAGGGCGTTAGGCTTGGCAACAAATGTCTTTATCTGCTGAGCTGTCTTGTGGGCCTTCCTTTACACCCTAGCATCCACCTTATGAATCCCTTAAATGCTACAGGCTTGCAGGAACACATAGTTCTGCCTTTATTTAACTGAATAGATAAAGAAGCTGACAATTTTTGAGACAGAGAAACCATAACTACAAAGAACTACTAAAGGCCTTATGGTGGCTGGAGAGATGGCTCAGGGGTTAGAGAGCCCTACTGCTCCTCCAGAGGACTGGCACCTCCGTCAGGTGGCTTACAACTGCCTCTAACTCCAGCTTCAAGGGGATTCAAAGCAGGGACACCTGTACACACATGCACAGAGCAGCACACATATATGCATAACTTGAAAATAATTTATTCAGCCCATCAGGGGTGTCTGGGTAAACAGGCAGCCTCCCCCATCAGGGGTGTCTGGGTAAACAGGCAGCCTGGGAGTCTGTAATCAGCTCCCATAACTGAGTGGGCTTCTGCATTAAGGAGAAATCCATTCTGACATCTATTTTGTGTTCAGTAAACTTGTGCCCTTACTGTCTTTTCTAGTTATAGAAATAATCCACTGCCCAAGGATTCCCAGTCCTTTATTTTTCAAAGAGATCTGATGTTTCTGGATTTGCAGTTATTTCTAAGCAAGTTTAATCACCAATATTTGACTGCATGTTAAAGAACCAATTATGAACATCCATTATTACATGACAGCATGAAGGATAAAAAACAAAAAATGCAGAAAATGTGGGATGGGAGGTAGGAGAGATAAAATTCACATGTGTTGAAAAATACAGAAAGCATTTGGAAATAGCACAAAGAACTGAATGGCAGATATGGTGTATGTGTATATCTAAGAATATATACAGAATAAAATATAATTGTATATGATATATATTGTTAAGAATACATATAAAATAAGGTATAGTCATATCAAGCACACACACACACAGGCAGCTCTTTTCTCCATGGAACTTGGGAAGTGACACTTTTCTCAGGAAGCGCAGACACAAGCTCTCACCAGCAGCGATCAGGTTACGCTCCACCCTGTAACTGTCATGATTCACCAATACTTACTCTCAACAATTTGGTGTGTATGTCTGAAATTTCACCCAACTCGGCTGCTTCTAGGTTAATTTTCATCAACTTTTCATATCTATATAAAAAACACATCAGAAAACAAATAATAGTAATAAATACACATTTCTAGAGGTAGTTTATGAAGTGAATTTTATTACTATAATCACTTAATAAAAAATTTATTCAAGGTCTATATGGTAAGATATTCTAAGAAACCTTTGCTGCCTTCCTAAAGAAGGCGTCTCCTACACAGATGTTCCTCCTCTATTTGTGGTTTTTGTTTCAGGTGGCTCCAGGTGCCAGTGGTCAATGGTGGTCAGAGATTATTTTGTGGAAAATTCTACAAGCATTTCCTATATTTTAAGTTTCACACCATCTGAGTATAATGAAGTTACATGCCAATTATTCCTCCAGCCTAGGACAGACCCTGTCCCTTTGTGCTATGGATCCACACTGTATATCCTATACCCTTCATAGTTACTTAGTAGTTAGTGATCTTAGTCATGGGGCTTCGATATCATGCTTTGACATGATGGGAATTCCTACTGGGAATCTGGGGCTCTATACAGAGAATCGGTACATATACTGTATACTTCCATTATATATGATGTACTTCCAATATAAATGTGCAGATTAGGAAAAAGTAGAGAAGGAAGTTCAAATCATGTTATGTCAGGAAAATGGTGAAAACACCAGATTTTAGAATTATAAACAAGAATAAATTAAAAGTCACTGCTAAAATTCTGTAGTTTTTTTTAAAAATAAAACTTATTAATAGTGTGTGTGTGTGTGTGTGTGTGTGTGTGTGTATGGGCCGTGCATGCCACAGCATGCATATGGAGGTCAGAAGGAAATGGAGTCAGTACTCTCCTCCAGCCCATCTGGAGATGGTACTCGAGCTACCACGCCTGTGCAGACAGCCCTTTTACCCACTCAACCATCTCAGTGGCCCCTCAAAAAGTTGTTCCTAAAATTCTCAAAATACTACCCAAAGGCTGTTTCAGCTGCCGCTTCTCACTTGCTTAGTTGATGGGAGGTTTTTTTGTTTTTGTTTTTTTTTGATTTTTCAAGACAGGGTTTCTCTGTAGCTTTGGAGCCTGTCCTGGAACTAACTCTTGTAGACCAGGCTGACCTGCTGCCCTCGAACTCACAGAGATCAGCCTGCCTCTGCCTCCTGAGTGCTGGGATTAAAGGCGTGTACCACCACCACCCAGCTTTGATGGAAGTTTTATATTTCCTGTTCATCTCTGCCTCCCTCCCACTGCCTGCCACTCAGAAATTATGTTGGAAATGCCATCAAAATGATGGTGTTAATTCCTTATAAGAAACCTGATGTTCTCCCTGTTGAGATGGAGCAGCCACGAATCCAGGGCTGCTGCATAAACAAACCCTTGGCACACTGTGTCCCGCCATACTGGAGGTAATTAAGATGGAGGCCAGTCTCTGTGACGACTCTATCTACTCACACTTTCACAGTCTTTTCAATGTTTCGGATGCAGAAATCCAACGTGATCACAACTTCTGTCTTCTTGTGAACAGTTTCATTGTAATCATCTCTCACCAATTCACTGAAAATAATGTTACCCTATTAGTTAAGAACTATTTTTGGACTACCACTAATTAGATTGAAATTCTACTTCAAACACATTTGATAAACTTTAAGTGCCAAATCACATTTTTTAGGGTACTATTAAAAGCATATCTGTGGCAGGCAGTACTCTAGGCTCCCTCTTGTAGAGGGTTCAATTAAAAACAAAACAAAACCCAACAACCAAAAGCCTTTGCATGGCTCTTCCACATCTGGGACAGTTACACCTCACAGGCTGTCATCACGAATCAGGTCAAAGCTGTAGAAACCCACGGCATTAAGGATCAAAAACTAATCTATAATCACAGAGACAAGTTGTGTAATATTTGGTATTACAGTTAATTTGCTACTTCAGCAGCATGTGTGATCTCTAAAGAGGATGGCACTGTGAATTACAGCTAATGGAAGGGCTACAATAGTGATCAGCAAACAAGGTCTAAAATCTATACTTTGTGGCCTATGATCACTTTAGAGAGATTAATATAAAAGACAAGGAAGACATCACATGTGGCCAAGGAAATCGAACATATGGCAGACCCTTTAAAAAAATCTGACACTGTGATTACATGAAAAAGGCTTTTTAAACTTAAGCTATAGCAAATAACACCACTGAACCAGGGACAGAAAAACAGGAAAAACAAATGCTGTTTGTATTTGGCGCATTTAGATTTCTTCTAGATATGCTAAGAGCCAGTTTCACCACTTAAGCCTTCCTGCCACTAACTAAACCATTCTAGAACTAACTAAACCATTCTAGCACTAAGCCATCCCAGTGCTAACTAAGGCATCCTCTGGTGCTAACTAAGCCATCCCAGCACTAACTAAGTTATCTTGGCACTAAGTCATCCCAGCACTAATCAGGACCACCTGGCACTAACTAAGCCATCCCAGCACTAAGCCACCCTGGCACTAACTAAGTTGTCCTGGTACTAAGCCATTCCCAGCACAAAGCTTCTTAGTGGAGGCAGAAAACCAGGTTTAGAAACAGAGGCCATGCCCAGGCTGAAAGTCATCACAAGCACAAGGCTGTATTTTTGTTTGATATAACACTAGCCACAGGAAAGAAACCTAAAACACCAAGAGCCAGCTGAGGTAGCAGAATGCCTGTGGTCCCAGCACTTGTGAGGTGGAGGCTGGAAGATCATGAATTTGAGAGCAGTCTGGGCTACACAGTAAGCCCCTGGCTCAAATCCCAGAGCCAGGAGTAAGAATGCTGCAGGGACACACATGCCTTCATAAGCTTATACGGGCTGTTCAAGCATTAGGTGAGCCTGGGAAAGCATTCCTGGGGTCCTTCGGAACCAGGTCTCCCTGCATCTGCAGAACACAGTCAACGTGGGTACAGCAACAGCATGGTTCTCAAAGGAGATGCATTTACTCTTACCAGATAGAAAGGTGACTTTCATGAGCCACATTCGGTTAAAAAAAGACCCAAATCACACACATCCTCCATGTGTGCATGCGAGAGAGAGAGAGAGAGAGAGAGAGAGAGAGAGAGAAAGAGAGAGAGAGAGAGACGGGGGTGGGGGGGAGTGGGGGGGGTGGGGGGGTGGAAGCCAGAGGTCAAGCAGTGGCTTTTCTCAAGTGCCATCTTTCTTTTTCAGAAGGGGCTTCCTCTGAGACTTGGGACTTGCAAGTCAGGCTGGCTGGCCAGCAAGGCTGAGTGACTCTCCTGTCTCTGCCTTCTCAGTGGTGGGTTACAAGCCTATGCCACTGTGCCTCCACCTCACAAGTGCTGGGACCACAGGCATTTTGCTACCTCTTTGTTTAAAAAAAAAAAAAATGGGGTCGAACTCAAGTCTTCATTCTTGCAAAGTGAGCACTTGACCACCTTAAACTACATCCTCAATCTAACACTTGTATTTCTTAAGGTAATTTTTAGGAAGACAACACTTCATTAGATCAATTTTCTGTTTGAGAATAACTGTATTAGATGATTAGTAAAAAAAAGTTTAGTCTGCTTGTCAAGATGAGTATACACACACAGGTGTGCATCCACGTACACGCAATGTCCACAATAGGCAAAGCTATGGTGTATTAGTGATGTTTAAGTTGGAGTGGGGGGGGAGCTACTGGGCACTAACTTCTGAGGTGATGCAATGGTCTAAGCTCAGCAGGGATGCTTGCATCACTCTGTGCCGCACTGGAAGGCCCTGACTGTACATTTGAAATGCACAAATTATCAGACTGCTTTAGTTATGTCAGTGTCAAAGTCATCCAAGAGAGCAAATGAACCCGTGCCAAGGTCTTTGAAGGAGGACTATACACTTTACAGAGCTGTGTGGGTTTGAAACTCAGACTGTTTATCCTGGAGGTCTCAACAAAAATAATGCTGACTGTTGTACAAACTAAGGTGAGGCAAATGTGGCGTAGCAGAACCAAGCTGTGACCTAGCTGCTGCGGTGGCAGTGCTCAGTGATGCGGCCCGGCCCGGGTTAGTGAGGTCAGTGCGAAGGACGCATTTCAGATTGCAGTCTGCTACTTACATCAACCACCGGATCCCCTTCCGCATTAATTCCTGATAGAGCAGCAAGGTGCTGGCAATTCTACAGGCGTAACACACAACGCCCGTCACTGCCTGATGAGAAAGAGACATAGTGTTTGGTGCTGAGAGTGGACAAGGTAAGAGAGACTGTCACACAAAAGCAGTCATATTTCCATATTCCAAAGGCAATTTCCATCAGGCAAATAAATTATCACTGTCTAAAAGCTAGAAATATGTAACTGTAATAAATGAAAGTAAAACAATGTGGACTGGATAATACTTTAAATATTTTCCCAAGGCACACAGAACACAATACGATTCTTACTTCCACCACTGTTAATTCAACAAGATACTAACCTTGGCCATGCTAGCATCACCATCCAAATCATAACGCGGATGTACTTTAGGTAGGGGAACTGAAATATGAAGTAAAAAACTTAAAATTAGAAACAAGTATGTGTGGATACATGATTTTATTCTTTCTACAGCAAGCAGAATGTCTAAATTAAACCCACAGGAGTCAATCTTCTAAGGCACTTTTCCTAGCTTTAAAAGAAAGGCTGGGCCCGGCGGTGGTGGCGCACGCCTTTAATTGATAATCCCTGCACTTGGGAGACAGAAGTAGGCGGATCTCTGTGAGTTCGAGGCCAACCTGGTCTACAAGGGTTAGTTCCAGGACAGGCTCCAAAGCTACAGAGACAAAAAGAAAAAAAAAAGAAAGAAAGGAAAGAAGAAAAAGAAAAAAGGAAGGCTGGGAGATGACTCAGTGGGTAAGAGAACTTGATGTGTAATGTGAGTCCTCAGTTCAGATCCAGCACTCATGTAAAAAGCTGGGAGTGGCTGTGACCCTAGCACTGAGGAGGTGGAGATGGGCAGATTCCCAGAGTTTGCTGGTCAGCCAGCCTAGCTGGAAAAAAAAAACAAAAAACAAAAACAAAGGAGTGGTCCAGATTCAGTGAGAGACCTTGACTCAAGGTGACAGACAGAGGTGTAGAACAGACTCCAGGCCCTCCCCTCAGGCACTTACAATGCTCATTTCCTAACAGCCACCACCAGTGTTTCTCTTTTTTTTCTTTTTCTTTTCTTTTCTTTTCTTTTTTTTTTTTTTTGAGACAGGGTCTCTCTGTGTAGCTCTGGAGCCTGTACTAGAACTCACTCTGTAGATCAGGCTGGCCTTGAATTCACAGAGATCAACCAGCCTCTGCCTTCAGAGTGCTGGGATTAAAGGTGTGCGCTGCCACTGCCCAGTTAACCTCAAATTTTTTTCAAGTGTTTTATTCCTTCCTTTTTATTATGTGCATACACGCCATGGCATAACGCAGATGTCATGGAACAACTTTATGGAGTTGGTTCTCTCCTCCCACCTTCGCATGGGATTGAACTCAGGTGCCAGGCTTCCGGGATAAGCACCTTTATCCACTGAGCCATCTCATCAGCCTCATTCTTTAAAAAAGATTTATTTATTTTATTATGTATGCAGTGTTCTGCCTGCATGTTTGTCTGCAGGCTAGAAGAGGGCACCAGATCTCATTATAGATGGCTCTGAGCCACCCTGTGGTTGCCGGGACTTGAACTCAGAAACCTCTGCAAGAGCAGGCAGTGCTCTTAATCTCTGAGCCATGTCTCTAGCCCCCAAGCCTCATTTTTTTTTTTCTGTTTGTTAAATATATTCTAATACAATGAACTCTACACTGTCTTTCAATCTAAACTTAATATTGAAGTCTCAAAATGGATTCAAAATTCTGAATAAGTCCTTTTTCCACACCAGTAGGACAAACAATTTAAAAAATTTTGAAGATTTTGATCTAATTTTTTCTTAAATTCTAAAGAATGGCAGAATGTCCTACATACACTGGATAGAATAAATATTTTCTGAACTTATAATAGGAATGTTATTTTGGGAGTTACCAAACACTACAAACACAGTAAAGCATGACAAACTATCACTTCACAAAACAAAACACTAAAGCAAAATAGAAGAAAAATTATGAGGCTTTTCACTTTTGCAATCTTTATAAACTAATTTATAAAATTTTAATATTTGTAGTTTACATTAAAATCAGTATCAGTTTTATGAAATGAGCATCAGTTCTTCAGTGACAGACGACTGACTTAGTGGCCAGTGAGGACATGACAAAGATCACGACTTACTTTTCTCGTATTTCAGTCCTATGGTACTTAGGGGTTCCCGGCTTACGACAAAGATAGGGTTCTCCTCTGTGGTTTTGGGGAAATGCTGGGCTAGTCTTCCAAGTTCTAGGACTAAGCGTCGTCCTTCATAGATAAGTTCTTGATTTGCAGAAATAATTTTAGTTTGCTTATATACCAGTTCATGGAATACAGCAGCACTGCGTGAGGGAAGTTAAGAGAGGATGACAGACGCTGATGGAATTGGAGGTCAAACCTGCACATCAGCAACACTCCTGCAAGTGCTCTACGACTGAACGCGTCTTCTAGGCACTGGCTTGTTAATATGGACACTAAAGACGTACTGAAGTGGGAACCCCACATAACCTGACCCTATCATGGCTCTTTATGCAGAGCCAAGAACAGGACCTGAAACACAACTATAACACTTCTGTTAAACACTCTAAGAAATTAGAGTATTTTCCAAATAATGTTTTCGGGGAAAAGGTAAAGTCCCCTTGCATAGGTCCACAAGCTCAAAGGCGGCTGACAGTGTGACGTGGCTCCGCCTGAAGCTGCTGACTTGACCAGCTCAGGCTATTTTAAGATCAAGTGCATATCCACAACAATGACATCAGTCGGTTTAGGCTATAAAGAGCCAGAATATGACAAAATAATCTAAAGTTATATTTTGTTTATGTTGTATTAGATCTAGTTATTAGGTTATTAATATCTAAATATTTTGTGTAAACTATATTCTTTTTCTTTTCAGTTTTTGGCGCTTGTGGTTGAAGTCAGGGCCTCACGCATGCTAAGCAAACATTTCCCACCGAGCTAGTCACACCTAAATCTTCTTTTCATGAACTAAAACAAAAAGCACCCGTGTTTCTTTTAAAGATTTTTCTTGTATGTGTATGGGTGTTTTGCCTACATGTATGTCTGTGCACCACAGGCATGTCTGATACACTGGCAGAGGCCAGATGGGGGCATCAAATCCTCTGGAATTGAGGGTTACAGACAATTGTGGGTCACCACGTGGGTACTGGGAATCAAACCTAGTCCTCTTCAGTGCTCTTAACCACCAAACCGACTCTCCAGACCCCTTCTCATGGATTTTATGAGACAACAAGACTGTTATATAAATTTTGTTGAACAGACTAAGGTACAAAGTATGAATCCGATTCTTAATTTTTTTGGGGGGTGGGCTGTGTTTTGAGGCAAGGTCTCACTATATAACACTGGTTGGCCCAGAGCTGTCTATGTGGACCATGCTGGTTTTGAATTTGTGGTGATCCTCCTGCCCAAATCTCCCACGTACGCGGATTCCAAACCGCGTCAGCCCACACAGCTTCTTCATCCTACTCTGACATCCCTGCAGAGAATTCACACGTGGTTGTAAGACGTAACTCAGCAGACGCTGTACTCTCCACCCAGCTTCTCTCAATGGCAGCACCAGGCAACACAGTAAACGGCCACCACTACCTATAGTTACTCTGATACAATCCATCTAACTCCTTCCCAAGTTTTACACTCAGGTGAATATTTAGTCATGTATAATCTTATTACATAAGTTTTTACAAAATCACCTGGTATTTTTATTTATGCAAAACAAATGTTGACTATTTCTTAAGTATCCATAAAGTTTTCATGCTAATTATGTAAAGCTATACTAAATTTAGAAATTCCACTATATTTAAAACTTAGGCTTTTTTTGTTTTGTTTTAGAGACAGGGTTTCTCTGTGTAACAGCCCTGGCTGTCCTGGAACTTGCTTTAAGGACCAGGCTGGCCTTGAACTCACAAGAGATTCGACAGCCTCTGCCTCCCAAGTGCTGATATTAAAGGCATTCACCACCACCGTCTAGCACTCTTGTTTTTAAAGAGGGTATACTTTCAATAAAGCAGCTCATTTTTACCAGTACATTGTACTTGAAAGAAGTCATAGATTTAGCTCTGTCAAACTTGCAGTTTAAGTACACAGTAACTTATCTGTGTATTAAGAAAAAAGTAAATGGGTTTACTTCTGATTAGTGACCAGGAATTCACTAAGCATTTAAACTCAGTTTTCCCGAGACATGGGCACTGTTGATGAAGGTAAGGCATCTTTTCCATCTGTTCTCCTGGCTGAGATGTTCACTGTATTACACAACACACAGACGGGAGAAGAACAGAGGCACTTACGTATTGTACTTATGAATATAGATCTTATGTGCTGTCATCTGTTGCAGCGAGAAAACATGGATTATCATTCGGTGAAGGACATCACTAGTTTCTGCGAAGAACTGGTCAAAACCCCAGCACTTGTCTTGGTCAGCTTCGAGGATGTTTGCAAGGACTGGAGTAAGCAGTGTCTGAAGACCCCTGAAACAGTATTTACAGAGTTACCTGGAGAGCACAGCACAGAGCCGCCAAAGATACAAAGAAAACACAAATCAAAGAATAGCATGGCAGTTTGAACAAGGGTGGTCTCCAGAGGCTCATGTATTTGGATGCTTAGTCACGTGTTGTTCTGTAGTCTTGGTCCGCCCCTCCCCCATCTCCCTCCAGTCCTGACAGTTAGGAGAATGGTTAGCTCTTTTTCTTTCTCAGTTCACTCGCTTTAGTTAGTGGTCTTTACTGCTCCCTTGAGGTACTTAAAATCTTTATCATTAACATAAACAAAAATCATGAAAAGCACCTTTTCAAGTCAAGAAATTCTGATGGAAGACTTCTATGCTAACAGCTGTTGTGGATGAGGTTTCTTTAGTTCAGAAATCAGACCACGGCATCACTGACTCAGCAATATACCAATAACTAGCACGGACCCCGGCCTGAGCCCTTTACATCCTGCCAGGCTCCCCGAGGTCCCGTCAGTAATGGTTCTGCAATCGCCTGTAGCACAAATTGCTGTGTCTGTAAAGCTGTACTCTCCAACACAGCACATTTCTTTTGGCAAATCTAGTTACATGAGTTTACTTTCAGAAAATGTTTTCCAAAAAAGTAAAAAAAAATGAAACAGGGTATTGCTTCCTCCCCAGGAGTTGGGGATGGGACAGCTGAGACAGAGTCTCACTGTGTTGTTCAGGGTATCCTGAAACGCATTATGTAGCCCAGGATGGCCTCAAACCCATGGGGTCACAGGCAGGAACTACCAACCAGTTTTTTTTAGTTAGTTTGAAACTGTTTTGAGTCAGGGACTCACTGCTATGCAGTTCTGGCCATCCTAGAACTATGTAGCCCAGGCTAGCTTTGAACCTGTGGTGATGTTCTTGCTTCTGCTTCCTGAGTGCTGGGTTTATAGGTTTGTTGCCACATTGCCCAGTTACTTTCAATTTGACATTAATCCTTTCTTTGGGACAATCTGACAATATAATAGAGTTCTGACTGATAAATTACGTAAGATCCTGTAAACATTGGAAATGCTGGAAAAAGTACTAGATATGCTTATCTTTTTTTTTTTTTGGTATTTTTTTGAGCTACGCTATGGTTGTACTGGGACTCACAGAGACCCTCCTGCCTCTGTCTCCCAAGTGTTAGGAGTAAAGGTTCATCTCACTATGGCCAGCCCAGAAATACTTATTTTTTATTCTTTTAATAACCTGAATACTTTTTCAAAGTAAAGAGAATATTAAACTTGGTGGTGGTTTTTTGGTTTCACCTTTTTCCCGATTTGGCTTTTCTAGACAGGGTTTCTCTGTGTAGCTCTGGCTGCCCTGGAACTCACTCTGTAGCCCAGGCTGGCCTCGATCTCACAGAGATCTGCCAGCCTCTGCCTCCTGAGTGCTGGGATTAAAGATGTGTGCTGCCACTGAGTACACCACCACCATTAGGAAAAACTTACTCCTAGTTACACCACTGTTCATGGTCCATCAGTATCAAGTCCTTTGTATGAGCCCTACATTGGAAAGAATTTCAAGACAAGTGAGAACCAATCTTAGGAACACATTGCCTTCTATCCTCAGGAAAGTATCCTAAAGCTCAGATGTTTACATCACCCCAAAAGCAAAAAAAAAAAAAAAAAAAAAAAAAAAAAAAAAAAAAAAAAAAAAAATCAAAATAAAACTACACTAAACAGGCCAACAGTGGGAGAGTCCATGCCTGTTGGTTATCCCTGAATGTGGGACACTGAGGCAGGAGGATTATCAGTCTGGGCTACATGCTGAGTTCAAGGCTAGCCTGGGCTACATAGCAAGACCCTGCCTCAAAAAACAAACCAACAGAAAGAAAGTCAGCACCGAAAATATGCTTAAATATTTGAATGTGCTTGTGACTTTTAGGCAACAAAGAGATTAAACACAGGATGTCAAAGGTTAAGAAGTAGGTATACTTACCGAGAAAGACTACAAGAAACAGGCATGTCTCCACTCCAGTCAATTGGCCCATTTTCTGCTTTCTGTACTCCAGATATGGCACCAGAAGGCTTCCCGGTGATGATTTTATACCTTGGGAGGAGCAGCAGAGTAAGATAAGCGGTCACGATGCACTGTTTCCTCTGCTGCACACGCTGTACCCGCGAGAGCAGGCTGTGGGGCTGACGGACATGGGGTCCATTAGACAGTCAAAACCCTGGGGACCGGGCTGGGTGAAGTGGAACAAGAGTTGTAGGAATACTATCTATATGTCATAACAAATTTTCATTTGGGAGCCCAGAGTGAACAGCATTTATGTTCACAACAAAAAACATGAATTTTTCCATCTAAAAAATAGAGCAAACACAAAAAAAGCTTTATCACTGAAATCTCTAGACTATAAAATAAGTCCTAATCTTTCTTACCAATATTATTACAGCCAAGCAGACTATAATATTATTGCAAAATAAGTCATGGAATTATTTTTTTAAAGAAGGAGATAAAACTATGCATAGCACAGTATCAGAAAAATCCTCCTCATAGTCAGAAAGTAACACACACGTGGAACAGGAGCACTTAAATGAAGAGTCAAACCGATGAGAGTGATATAAAAACGGGTGTGCAAAAGCCAGGCTGGCTGGGGAAGCTGGGGACAAGGAGGATGTGGTTCAGTCTCAGACAAGCTGTGCTCTTAAGAACACCTGTATCTGAATGAAAGCATTCGGCATCAAGTGGCAGTATTTTCTTACAGTCAACATATTTCTGTCTGATCATTTTTAGTTTATCATCTAAACAAATGTGCTCTGGGCAAACCAATATATTTTTAAAAACTAGACCCAACCAGTAAGACAGATGCAGACTACTGCTTTCTCTATAGAAGCAGCCATAACGTCTGTCTCAAGAAATGTTTTAAAATAAAGAAATTAGCTAGGCAGTAGTGGCAAACACCTTTAATCCCAGCACTCAGGAGACAGAGGCAGGTAGATCTCTGAGATCGAGACCAGCCTGGTCTACAGAGCGAGTTCCAGGACAACAGCCAGAGCTACACAGAGAAACTCTGTTTCAACAAAACCAAATAATTTGTGGAAAAATAAGGTGTGCTCACATGTGCCGGGTCCAGTTCTGGAGGAATAAATGGAGATGTGAAGTTAATGCAAAAGAGCAGTGAAGAGAATTAATGACAGCATTGCTAAGGTATGTAAATTCTTCAAGAGCTTAACTTTATAAGATTCACATGTGAACCTTAATCATGTGCAAAGTTGATGCAGGTGCAATGCAGCTGTCCTGGGAGGAGCGTAACCACCCACCAACACAGTCAGACGGTCATTAATAATGCCGAGGCAACATGGCTGTGCCGGGCATGGCTGTGCCAGGAGGAGCGTACCACTCACTGATACAGTCAGACGGTCATTAACAATGCCAAGGCAACACTAAATATCGCTATCAGTGCTCGCACAGAGGTGTGTTCCATACAAAGATATCCCAGAATTGTATAGGTGCCCACAGAGTGATCATGTTTCCTTTCTTACAAGCAGCACACTTTAGAGCAGCTAAAGTTGTCACTGCTTTAAAATGTATCTATGAAAATAGAAGTGTGCACGTGTCAGGAACAACTTACATTTAACGAGGAAATGAAGGACACTTGGCCTTTGCTAAAGGGGGGTTTTAATAAAAAGGGCACTGTTGTAAAGCAGGTTCAGGCGGACACTGCAACATCTTAGTGCAATTAGTGGACATCTTCTCGTGCACAAACGCACATGTTGTAGCTCACTAGCATGGATGCACATGTTCAAGCTTTAGCAAAAGCATCGTATTGTCCGAGCTTGTTTTATTTACTTCCTTAAAGCAACAAAAGGAAGAACATGCTTTTCTCCCAATTTTCTGAGATGAAGACTCTAATTTTACAGCTGTGATTACTTTGAATCACATGCACGTGGGTAAGCTGGGATGGTGGCTATACACATCCAACACTCAGCTGCGGCAGAATGGCTTTGACAATGTCTTTTAAAATGAAATAAAGCACAGTGTGTTGGTTGTTTCTTGTCAACTTGACACAAACCTTGACATCTGGAGAGAGGAAATCTTAGCAGAGAAAATGTCTTTCTGTAACACTGGCCTACAGGCAAATCTGCAAGGCATTTTCTTGATTAAAGATTCACAAAGAAGGCCTAGCTCATTGGGGTGGTGTCAGCCCTAGGTGGGAGGTCCTGAAGGGTTAAGGAAAGCAGGCTGAGCAAGTCAGGAGGAGCAAGTCAGTGAGTAGCACCCTCCATGGCCTCTGCATCAGCTCCTGCCTTCAGGTTCCTGCCTTGAGTTGCTGCCCTGACTTCCTGGGATGATGGGCTACAAGCTGTAAGATGAAATAAACCCTACCCTCCCCAAGCTGCTTTTGGTCCTGGAGTTTTACCGCAGTAACAGAGACCCAAACACCCACAGTGTACAGATGAATTACATAATAAATTTCACTCCAGAAATTTCTCTACCTTTTCTTTTTCTTTTTTCTTTGTCTACTATTAGTGACTTTGTGCAATGCTCATTTTTTCAATAATATGGCAGCATATAAATGCATACAATGCTATGGGACTGGAGAGATGGCTCAGCAGTTAAGAGCACTGACTGCTCTTCCAGAGGATCTGGGTTTAGATCCCAGCACCAATGTGATGGTTCACAACCATTTTAACTTCAGTTCCAGGCAATCTTCTGGCCTCTTCAATCTTCAACACTTACACACATAAAATAAAAATTTAAAACTGTATACTACACACTACCAGATTTATCTCTGGCTGGAATCTGTGGCAAAATTACTGCCAAAATGTCATTTTTAAGATAGTCAATCAGTTCAATGGAAGGTTGGAATTAAATTTCCTTGGTCCTGGGGCTAGAGAGATGGCTCATAGGTTAGGAGCACTGACTTCTTTTCCAGAGGACATGGGTTCAATTCCCAGCACCCATATGGCAGCTTACGACTGTCTACAACTCTAGTTCCAGGGAATCTGACAAACTCACAGAGACATACATTAAAGCAAAACACCAATGCACACAACATTAAAATAACAAAATTAATTAAATGGAGAAAAAGTGGCAAACACAAAGTGGAATAAAGAAATGAAGCGTGCTAAGGTAAAACTCGGGGACATGGAGGTAACACTGAACCCAAGACTAGATACTAGGTTTACTCTGTAGATGTTTAAACATGATTTGAAAAACTATGCCAACACTCTTAGAAGGCTGCATTCTTAGTAAAATCTAGGTAGCATCAAGTATCAGAAAAAGGCCATTTTCAATTTCATTTCCTCAAACTTATGAGAAACAAGATAATATACATTAAAAATTATGTCTGCCTTTGGATGGAACAAGCACTTACATCACTTCCTTATTCCTGCGAGGCCCCTCAAATGGTCTAAATGGCAGTGATCCAGTAGCTGCGTGGTAAAATGTCACCCCGATACTCCAAAGATCAACTGTAGCCCCGTATTTCTTCTGATGATCTTTTCTTAGTACTGCTCTCTCATACATGTCAGGATGCTAAAACAGAAACGTTATGAACTTACGACATATTTAATATAAACAACAACAACAATGAAAAACTAGTCCTCAACAACGCTAGATGTCCCATCCTGTTTTCCTGAGTCCACTCTCCTAATCTCAAAAGACTGTTCTGGGCGGGAGGCGCCCAGAGCAGAGTGTGCTCGCTGCTCACGCACGAGGACCTAGTTCAGATCCACAGCAAAGGCCGTGTAAACAGCTGGCATGGTGGAACCTGCCTGGAACCCCGAGGCAGGGAGTGGATGTAGGAGGACCTTGGGTCTTGCTGACCAATCAATCTAGCCAGTTGTTGGGGTCCTGGTCCAGCAAGAGACCATCTCAAAAACTAATGTGAAGATTGACAGCAGTAGACACTCACCCTTGACCTCTGACCTCCACAAGCACACCTGGGTGCACCCCTCAAACCTCTGAGGGGAAAGGAAGGTAACGGGCTATGCATAACTCCCCTCTTATCTTAAACTCCTGATACCATTTTGCTTGATCCTCAAATTTCATGACCTCAGCCTGTAGTTGGAGAAAGCTGCTATAATCTGACTCACTGAGTGAGCCTGTGCAGTTGTCAGGCCTCTTGTTCAGTTACAAAAAACTCACTCCTATCGAAGACTAACTTTGCATTTCTGCTACACCATCATGTGATCTCACCAATTCCAGAAATCAGTGCTTACTCACTATTATCCCTTTATTTTATACATCAGTATTCCCCTCTTTACTGGCTCATTCGTCTCTGTTCATATAAGTATCTTCCATTTAAGAAACCTAATCAAACAAATAATAACATAAAAATGCTAGGCAAGGTGGTATGTGTGTGTAATCCCAGAGCTGGAGAAGGAGAGGCACAGGCTCTAGTCCCGTTAGCATCGGCTAATTGTCAGACTCCAGGTCAGTGAAACCCTGTCTCTAAGGAGATGCACAGTATTCTTGAGGATGACACGTCAGGTTGTCCTCCTGTCTCTGCCTATACCCACCACCTACTCATACATATAAAACCATGGGCATGTGTGTGCATGCGCATGTATACACGCATGCACACACACACGCACACACACCCACACCATTGTCAACACAGCTCTGCATGGGTGTAGTGGTCCACACTTGTAATTCCAGCTCTCAGGAGGGCCAGCCTCAGCTACATATCAAGATTGAGACGACCCTTTGTTACATTAGACCCTGACCCCCAGAACAAATAAAAAATTAATAAGTCCTGGGCTGGTGAGATGGCTCAGTGGGTAAAGGAGCCTGTAACCAAGCCTGAGGACCCCTGGCTTCAGTCCCTGGGACCAACATGGTGAAAAGGGGGCGGTGACTGCTGCAGCTGTCCTCTGACCTCTACAGGGGCGTCACAGCACACGCATGCCCCACCCCATAAATAAATGTAATAAAAATTTAGAACTTAACCACCCTAAATTGTCCATGCTCCTTTTCAGCAATTACTCAATTGTTACTTCTCACCTCAGTGCACTGAGCCCAAACTGGGCCATGCCTGGCCAGATGCTTCTCAAGTCTTCAGGTGCCTTTGCTTTTAATACAAATCCATTGCATTGGGGCAGGAGAGATGGCTCGGGAGTTAAGAGCATTGGCTACTCTTCCAAAGCTGGGTTAAACTGCCAGCACCCACATGGCAGCTCATGAATATCTGTAACTCTAATTCCAGGGAAATGATACCTTCACATAGATATACATGCAGGCAGAATACCAATTCACATAGTTAAAAAAATAACAACCTAACCCTCCCCCAAAAAACTTCCAGATGCATTGTATTAGTATATAGCTATAAAACAACCAAGAGTTTTTGTTGCTGGCTTCTTTGTTTTGAGACAGGGTTTCATTATACAGCCATGGATGTCCTGGAATGTTGTATGTAGACCTGGCTGGCCTTGAACTTGTACCCATTCTCTTTCTTCTGCCTCTTAAGTGCTGGGATCAAAGCTGTGAGTTACTACAACTGGGACAGCCTCTGAGACTGTCCAAGAGAAAATGACAGCACACTTAGAAAGCAATTCTTAGTTCCCTTCTGATACACCATATTCATCTGAACAGAAATGGAATCTTTTGTCATAAAAATTACATAGTATTTTACAGACTGTGACCAATCACCCCATGTGGAATACATCTATCCTGTCACTAAAATGAAATTCTAGCAATATGTGACTTACCAAGTACTCCTCTGTGCCATACAGAGACACAAACTGCTCATCGTCCTCCAGTTCCCTGGCGGCACCGAAGTCTGTGAGTTTGTACACAGACTGTCCGTCCTCCCCTATGACGCGCATGATATTGCCTGGCTTGATGTCACGGTGCACGATGCCATTCTCTCGGAGGTGATTCATTCCACCCACTTCAGCAACAAACACAAAATACAGGAGATTGCGATGGAGGCCTCTGTGTATACACACATCTCAGATTCACAGATATGACATTCATATTCACTCAAACTTAAGGTTTTGTACAAGTTGGCTCAATCCCCTTTTATTTATTTTTTTTAAGATTTATTTATTTATTATGTCTATAGTATTCTGCCTGCATGTATCCCTGCAGGCCAGGGCGCCAGATCTCATTACAGATGGTTGTAAGCCACTATGTGGGTTCTGGGAATTCAACTCAGGACGTCTGGAAGAGCAGCAGCCAGTGCTCTAACCACTGAGCCATCTCTCCAGCCCATGCCCTTTTATTCTAAGAAAGAGATTCCTCTTCTACAAATACCCACATGCACACATACATACCCCATGCACAAGTATGCATATGTACAATCTCATGTTTCAACCACAAGGAGTTTTAGATAAGAATAACGGCCCACAGAAGTCTGCTGTCTCCGTTAAATAGAACAGGAGTCTTAAGGCAATGACTACTGAACGACTTTTGGAGATATAGGCAGAATAACAAAGAGCCCAGAAACAGTTTATATGTTGTTTTTGAGACAGGGTCTCTGTGTAACAGCCCTGGTTGTTTTGGACCTTGCCTTGTAGACCAGGCTGGCTTTGAACTCACAGAGATCCTCTGAGAGCTGGGATTAAAGGTGGGCTATCATGCCCAGCTCTTGTTTTATTGTTATTTTACCTTGGGAAAAAAAAACATTGCTAAAAATGATCTGGCTTCAACATCTAAACCAGTAAAGAAGTAGCAAAAGGAGGGCACAGTGTGACTCTCGTTTCCATAGAGATGTGTTTATAATTGGTGCCAGTCAGTCTGTGTTCTTAAGGGCAAAGGCATTGACGCGGCGGGAATTAACACATTAACACTGTGGGGCTGACAGGCAGGGTCTCCAGTTGAGATTCTGGCCTCCTCAAACATTTGACTCGCTTCTTTCCAAGAAGGTGTTACTTGTCTTTTTAAAAATAATAGGATAAATGAAATATGTGTGTGTATGTGTTTATTATGACTTACCACTCATTTTTAAAAAGTATATCATTCAATAGTTTTTAATAGAGTTGTACAACTCTTGACATCAACACCAGAGCAGTTCTCTCTGTCGGGTGAGCGCAGCCCCGCAGGCACCAGTGGGCGCTCTCTCATTCTGTCCTCTGAGCATGCTCACTCAGCAGCCCCGCAGGCACCAGTGGGCGCTCTCTCACTCTGTCCTCTGAGCATGCTCACTCAGCAGCATTTTGTCCCTGTGGACGAACTGACTGCACATTCACGCGAGTGGGATTACACGACACTGATCTTTTCTGTCTCGCTTCTTTCAAGAGTCACTCACATTTTAGCAGGTATCAAAATTTCATTTTTCCTTTTCAATTAAGAATTTTTTTTAAATGTATGTGTCTTAGGGTCTCTATTGCTGTGAAGAGACACCATAACCACAGCAATTCTTACAAAGGAAACTTTTTAAGTTTAATTAGGGTGGCCCGTTCATATTTTCAGAGGGTCAGTCCATTATCATCATGGTGGGTAGCATGGCCGTGCGCAGGCAGAAACGGGGCTGGCTGCATCCTGAGGAGAAGGGAGCAGGAAGTGGACAGTGACGCCGAGGGAAGTTTAAGAAAGACCTCAGAGCCCGCCCCACCGTGACACACTTCCTCCAAAGGCCACAGTTCCCAGCAGTGCCCCTCCCTAATGAGTTTACGGGGCCAATTACATTACCATACTCCACTTCCCACCCCCATAGGCGTAGAACAACATCATAATGCAAAATGCATTTAGTCCAACTTCAAAGTCCCCTTCGTCTTTCACGGTCTCAGCAATACTGAAAAGTGCAATGTTCAAAGTCTCTTCTGAAATTCATGCAATCTCTTAATTGTAATCCTCTATAAAATAAAACCAGCTCAAGGGGGTAAATTACATGCTAACTACCACATAGTATATGTGATCAGTTTCTGCCAACTTGACACAAACTGGAGTCACATGGGAAGAGGGAGCCTCAGTTGGTAAATGCCTCCATCAGACTGACCTTTAGCCACATCTGTGGTATTTTCTGATTGCTGAGTGATGTGGAAGGGCCCAGTTCACTGTGGGCAGTGCCACCCTGGGACAGGTGGCCTGGGAGGTATAAGAAAAGTGACTGAAAATGAGCCCGAGGAACAGGCCAGTCTGCAGTGTTCCTCCACAGTTTCTGCTCTCGTTCCCGCTTTTGGTTTTTGCTCCCTCAATGATGGACTGTGATCAGGAAGTATAAGCCAAACAAACCCTTTCCTCCCCAGGTTGCTTCTGGTCATGTTTATTGCAACAAGAAGAATCAAACTATAACAGTAAGTGTGTGTGTATGTGTGTGTGTGTGTGTGTGTGTGTGAGAGAGAGAGAGAGAGAGAGAGAGAGAGAGAGAGAGAGAGAGAAAAGATAGAGAGAGAAGATAAAGATAGAAAGACATAGAGAGAGAAAGAGAGAGAGAAGATAGAGAGAGACACACACACACAGAGAAGATAGAGAGAGAGGCACACACACACTGTGGTTTTTGGGTGGGGAAGAGTCTCATGTAGTGGCGATTTGTCCTGAACTTGCAAGTAACAGAGGACAGACACCCTTGTACTCCTGACCTTCTATCACTACGTCCCACATGCTGGGATACAGACTTGCCCCATCAAATGAGGCTTCATCTCTTTTTATGAATGAGTAATATTCCATTCTATGGATGTGCAACATCTTAATCCATTTGTCAGTTGATGGATATTTGCGTTGTCCTGATTTTATTTATTGGTTATTACGAATAATGCTACAACAAACACAGACCCCACTCTCCACCCTGCAGCAGCTCACACGGACCCCACTCTCCACCCTGCAGCAGCTCACACGGACCCCACTCTCCACCCTGCAGCAGCACACACGGACCCCACTCTCCACCCTGCAGCAGCACACACGGACCCCACTCTCCACCTTGCAGAAGCTCACACGGACCCCACTCCCCACCCTGCAGAAGCTCACACGGACCCCACTCTCCACCCTGCAGCAGCTCACACGGACCCCACTCCCCACTTGCCAGCGCTGGCTCTTAGGATTGAATTTGTCCATCTTCATGGTAAGAGTGGCTTTCAGTACAACTTCCTTAGAAATTAATGATGCTGAGCACTGTTTAATGCACTCACTGGCCATCTGTCTATCCTTTCTTTTTGACAAATGTCTGGTCAAATCGTTTGACAAATTTTAAAACTGTTTTTGGTAGGGTGTCTGGAAAAGATATCTTATATGTGACCTACAAAAACTCTTACATTCTATGGGCTCTCTTTTCCAGTTATTGTCTCAAATAAGCTGTGGCTTTTAAATTTTTATTTATTTTATTCATGTATGTTTTGCCTGCATGTGTATCTGTGCACCAAATGCATGCCTGGGGCCTGTGGAGGGCAATAGACACCTTGGGACTGGACTTACACATGCTTACGAGCTGCTGGAAACTGATCCTGTGTCCTCTAAGAGAGCAGCCAGGGTCTTAGCAGCTGAGCCGTCTCTCCAGTCCTGAAATAATTTTTTAATGGTGATAAAGTCCATTTATCTAACTTTTCTTTTAGGTACTTGTGCTTTTGATGTGATTCCTAAGAAAACATGTATAAAAGTCTTTTGCTTTGAATACAGGAAATTAATATTCCAATCTATATCTTTAAGTAATATATGTTTGAAACAATATAAATAAACATGTAAAAACCATATAAATAAACATACCCACATCTCGTAAAACAATTAAAAATTCCGATTCCGGTAGTCCATAGGCATTGGATGGCTCCTCTAAAACAGTGTATAAACTCCCACAAGGACAAAATTCCATAATAAGGACTTTATGTCTTGTTGTCGTCTGCAAAACAAAAGTCACTGACTGAGAATCAATGGGAAAACATCAAGACCAGACCTGATTCCAGGGCAGCACTTCCCTGCCTGACCCCATTCAAAGGCAGAATGTGCTGCAATGACAAAATTACTTTGACTCCAGTATTGATAAATACTATGTTTATATAATAAACAGCTTCCAGTTTCTATTTAATAAAGTGTGTGTGGAGGAAGGGGGCTGGATAGAGAGTTCAGCAGTTACAAGCACTTGCTGCTCTTCCAGAAGAACCGAGTTCAGCTCCCAGCACCCAGACTGGGTGTCTCACAATCAATCACCTGTAACTCCAGCCTCAGGGCATCCACCAATGTCTTTTCTTCTCCCCAGGCACTGGAACACATGTGAGCATACATATACAAAAAAAACCCCTTAATATACAGACATATTATATCATATATAAACTAAAGTGGAGTTTGTTTGAAAGACAAAGCAGTGAAGACTAGCTAAAACCGAACCACAAGACCACGGAGGCACTGCTGAATGTTTTTCTTCAAATCATTTCATTTCTGCATAACAACATACTCAGGGAAATATCCTTCTTATGATAACTTTTACTTCAAGGAATGGAGTCTTAGTTTTAAAAAGCAATGGGTGAGCTGGAGAGATGGCTCAGTGGTTAAGAGCACGTACTGCTCTTCCAGAGGACCCGGGTTCAGTTCCCATCACCCATGTCTGCCTACAATGTGCACTCCAAGGGATCCAGTGCCACCTTTTGGCTTGAAAGGGTACCTACACCAGTAACGTACACATATACACATAACTAAAAATAAAAACAAAATTTAAAGAAAACGAGAAAAGAAACAAAACTGGATAGCAGAATGGTTGGGTCTCAGTAGAGTTCTGGTTTGCCCATTCCCATCTCAGTCATTTCAAACGTCATCATTATAACAGCTTTTTTTTTTTTTGGTTTTTCGAGACAGGGTTTCTCTGTAGCTTTGGAGCCTGTCCTGGAACTAGCTCTTGTAGATCAGGTTGGCCTCGAATTCACAGAGATCCGCCCGCCTCTGCCTCCCGAGTGCTGGGGTTAAGGCGTGCGCCACCACCGCCCAGCTGACATAACAGTTTTATAGGAAGAAGGAACCTCATTGAACTATGTAATATACAATGGTCATACAATATATACCATTTTTTAGAAATATGCAATTTTGAATAAATTTTAAAATCTGGTATTAATTAATAAAATCTAGTATTAATTCTTGATTCTTTAAAAATTTTTTAATCCAGCCCCCAAATACTTCCATAATGTATTTTATTTTCTCTGTTCAGTAGTCATGAGAAGAGAAATAATTATAAAACAAAAACTCTATTTTGTGTTGTACCACGATCAGCTAATTTTCTCTTTTGGAAATGACCTATGGCCCTTAAAATTTGTTTGAAAGAAGTGTTTTTGGAATTCAGCCAATGGGTAACTAATTATGTGATTTTTCTTTTCTTTTTAAAATTTAGATAAGATACATTACAGTCCAGACTAGCCTAAAACCACCAGCAATCCTCCTGTCTCATCATCCTTAGTGTTTAGATTACAGGTTTGGGCTCTCATGCCAACCCTTAAGGAAATGGAGACATTCTTACTGCCCAGTTCAGGCTCTCTGTGAAACCCTGACTTTCCTAAGATTTGTTATAAGAATACACCACTTCAATCAGCAAGCAATGTGATTTTTATGGATGCTTTAAAACACATCATACGTTTTCTGACTTGGAGAAGAAGTAGAGACCCAGGATCCGCCGTGCGGTCATGCAGGCAGAACATGATCCTTTTAATCCCAGCACTCGGGGGGCAAAGGCAGGTAGATCTCTGAGTTCAAGGCCAGCCTGGTTTACAGAGTGAGTTCCAGGACAGCCACAGTTACATAGAGAAACCCTATTTCGGAAAATAAAACAACCAAACAAATGCACAGAAGAAATGTGTTCCCCCAAAGGCTTGGGTGGTCTCTCGGAGGTAGCAGGTTTATGCCTGGAAGTAGCGCACAGCCTACGCTGCTGTGCCTGTTCTAATTTGCATCTTTCTGCTATTATACAATAAAAAGTATAGTACTTCTCTGGGTCCTGTGACTCACTATCCATTTTAACAAATTATCAAATGTCTAAGAACTCCTGATACTTTGGTTTGTAGGAAGAGCTGCCCTGGAGACCCCTGCTCGGGGCTGGTGTCTGGGGTAAGGGCAGCACTGTGGACTATGTTTTCTGCGCTGTGACAGAGCCCTTTGCAGTGAGGGCTTCCACAGCCGTGGCAGTTTGGAAGGCTTCTCTCTTTTTCTGTTGCTATCTTTATTTTCTGAGATAATGTCAGACACTCTGCAGCCTAGGCTGGTCTGGCTTTTGCAGAAACTCTTCTGACTCAGTGTCCCAAGTGCTAAGATCACAGACTTGCACCACTATGCCTGGCTTTGTGCTGAGCACTCGGTCTTGGGGAGTTCTGAGCCAACACTGTTCCCTTCATTAGCTACCCACATTTTAACGATTCAGCTTTTCAATCAGTCTTTACTATAATATCCTGACACCAATTCACATTTTAATGCATGAAACTATAATTCATACCTGATCAACCCTTAGAAATAATCATTAAGAATAAACTGTAAAGGGCTGGAGAAATGGCTCAGCGGTTAAGAGCACTGACTGCTCTTCCAGCGGAAGAGCACCCGGACCCGGGTTCAATTCCTAGCACCCACATGGCAGCTCACAACTGTCTGAAAATCCAGTTCCAGGGGATCTGACACTTTCACACTAATGCACATAAAATGAAAGATAAATAAATCACAAAAATTAAAAAAAAGAATAAACTGTAAAGAATATACAATATAATATTTTAAGAGATTTTTGTTGAATATCCATGTCTAAAAGTAAAAAGATCACTACTTCACTATTTGTAGAGTATCTCTAAAATACTTTTCCTAATGATATATTTAATTTTTGCCATTTTCCCTAAAATCAATTCTTTAGAGCATCGGATCTTCCAAACCTGGGGTCACAGGTGGCTATGAGCTGCCTGCTGTGAATGCCGGGACTGAACCTGGTCCTCTGAAGAGCAGCACGTTCTCTTCACTGCTCAGCCACCTCTCCAGTCCTTGTTCTTCCTATAATTATGTGAACTTTGCTTCGGCTTATTTTTCTTTTCCTTTTTTTGTATATAACACGAGGGATCAAATTTTACACATCTCCTTATGCCTTTTTCTGTTCTCATTCTTGACACTCTATTTCTATTCTCTGGCTACTGAAATGCTGGGGATGGAACACTTGGTTACATGGTGTTTGTGTGACCTGTTTGCTAGATCTCGTCTTCTGAATGGGAATTACTAAAACACATGGCAACCTTAGATACTTACCTCCTCTTCAATAGCAAATAATTTGACAATGTTTTTGTGGTTGAGTTTTTTTAATACTTCAAATTCTCTCATTTGAACATCCACTGGGCGAAGGAAGCTTATGTTATTAAATACTTTGACAGCATATAAATCACCAGTTTTCTAAAAGACAGGGGAAAAGAAGGAGTTAGCCACTAACATGCTATAGCAATCTGCAGTCTCAGCACACTACGCATCCTTCAGACCAAGCAAGCTCTGGGACCAGAGCTCCCAAGTCTAAAAAGGCAAAAAATTTGGAATTCCCCAAAGGTCACTATTTTTGACGCTACGAACAGAATTTACAAACGGTACACTAGTGGAAAAAACAGTATTCACATAGCAGAAGGTAGCAGCTCTAGTGTTAAAAGGGAAACTTCTGGACAAGAAAAGGAAAGTGAAACTTCAAGGATTTCCCAAAGCCAAACGTTTGCAAATAAGAACAAAGAGATGGAAAATTATACTCTACCTACCAAATTTTTATCAACATTATCAAAGCAATGCAATACAATTTTCAGACACTTTTGTCACTGGCTATGTTAATGTCTGTGTTGATAAGCAGGAGCCTGAGAATCAAGGTCAGAGTGGACTTCCTGGCTGGACTGTGCCGCTGCAGGGTAAAGCGGACTTCCTAGTGGATCATGCCACTGCTGCCAAGCACACCTGATGGCAGGGTGGGGGCAGTGTGTTCCTTCATCAGCGACCTCTGGGGAGCAAGGATCTACTGGCATGACACACTGCAGAATCCCCGCAGCCCTTCTCCAGTGCTGAGGACATGCTGACATGCACTCTCACAGACGCGCCCACAGCGTTTCAGGAGTACAAAACTAACCTTGCTCTGAACTCATCTAGCCCCCAGCCCCCAATTCCTTTCAGCCCCCAGAACCAGAAAGCTTCCCCTGGTGGCCAGCCCCAGCCTTTCCGCATTCAGCTTCACTTCCCCCTATTTATTCAAGTTCAATTTCCTCAAAGCCAGTTCTCCTTGGGCGTTCAAGCATGGTCTGCTGAAGGACAGGCCAAGTCCCTGAACTGGACCTCTCTTTCCATAGATCCACCTGTCCTCCTCCTCTCAGCACAGAAGCACCATCTTTAAAACCATTTTCTGTTGTCAATAATCCTGTCTATACGGAAATTTGAACCACCGAGTCTAAATGACCCCCACTGCCCAAGTCACACCAAGTACAAAAAAAATGTGTATTTCCTTATAATTATCTCACACTCAGTTTAACAGACTGTTTTCCCTAAAAACATTTGGTTACAACTCTTTGTTTCACTGTGGGTGTGGTGGGTGTGTGACAGGTATGATCAGAGGGCCGTATGCAGCAGCCAGTTTTCTCTTTCGACCATGACCTGAGGATCAAACTTAAGTTGTTACACCTGGTGTCAATGGCCTTGACCTCCGAGCCACCTGCCAGATCAATTGGGAGGTTTCTAACAGAGGAGCAAGCAGTGGAAACGATACAATGTAGCAATGTACCCAGGGTTATCAGGGTCAGCACTGTGGAAAGGCCCACAGTCTACATATCTGTGAGGGAACTGGAATGTGGGAATATACCATTTCTGCCTATCACCTGCACAGTCACCTGCCATCCACTGCCACAAATCAAAGTTACAAGAGTTCCTTCAAGCCACCTCTCACCACCTTTACCACGGTTATCACGCCCATATATTCCATCTGATATAACAGTAGCTAGTGACAACTTTAATAAGAAAACTTAAGCTAAGGAACACAGTGATGGCTCAGTGGATAAAAGTACTTGTCGAGCAAGCCTGATGACCTGAGTTCGATCCCCAGAATCAAAGTTGCCCTCTGACCTCCACTACATTGCTATGGCAGCGTGCCTGCACACATATACCACACATCTGTAAATAAAACTGCCTTAAAGATTAAATAAGTGATATGCTTTTAATAACAGTACATTTAAGAGCATGGTATCCTAGCAATACACAAAAGGGTGAATATCATGATCAAAAAAGCTTTAAAGGGGAAGCAGGATTTTCAAAAAAAGTTATTTTTATTTTTTATTATTACATTTATTTTACGAGCATGCGTGTTTTTCCTGCATGTATGCTATATGTTTGCTGGTGTTCTTGAGGGGCAGAAGAAAGCATAAGATGTTCTGTAAATGGGTACAAACTATGGTGAGCTGCCATGTGGATGCTGGTAATCAAACTCTCTGTGAGTGCAGGCAGTACCCTTCACTACTAATTTTACTGTTTCTAATCACGGGCACTTGAGTGTGTGCAGATGCTTGTGGAGAGTGGAAGCATCAGGTCCCCTGGAGCTGGAGTTATAGGTAGCTGTGACATTGGGTGCTGGGAACTGGACTCAGGTCCTCTGCAAGAGCAGTATGTGTGCTCTTCACCACTGAGCCATCTCTCCAGCCCACACCCCACATCCTGTGATGTCCCTCCAAACGCTGTGAATGTTTTATTACCATTGGTTAATAAAGAAGCTGCCTCGGCCTATGGCAGGGCAGAATATAGTTAGGTGGGAGGGAAATCTAAGCATAGCTAGAGGGAGAAAGAAGGAAGAGTCATGCAGCCACCAGAGCAAGATGCCAGTGCATTACCAGTAAGTCACAGGGCACATGACAATACATGGATTAATGGGTTAATTTACATGGAGAGTTGGCAAGTAAGGAGCCTGAGTCACCGGCCAAACAGTCTGCAGTTAATATTAAGCCTCAGAGTGGTTGTTCAGGAACTGGCGGGCAGAAGAGAAGCTCTCAGTTACAATTCTGCTGTTTAGTACAGTCTTAAATACTTGAAGTTGACAGTGATGCCACTAAGAATAATCATAGTTTCTGGAAATATATCTCTGGAGGGATTAATAACTAAATAATAAACTGGATCATAGGAACCTCCATTCTTATCCTCCTCAAATCTGTTACTTTAGGTTTCTACAATATATTTCTAAAAGTGCACCTTTGTTTCTTTAAGGACTTTATGCTGCCTTAGGGGATCTAATCTGACCTTATCCATTCATTTATTCTTTCATTCCGTGAACATTTCAGAGGATTGGCCCTGCCTAGGCACTTACACACAGCACACCGAGTGCCTAAGGAGGGCACAGGACCAGAAGACATAAGCTATCTAGAAATGCCAGCACTTTAAACACGTCAACCAAACTATCACTACTGACTGTCATTTAGTTTCCAACTTACAACCTCTCTAAAGGCACTCCCATACAAAATCAAACTTGTCATGTGTAGGCATTGCTCACTAGTTATAATGTAACAACTCCAGGCCCACCACAGTGCCTGGCACAAAATAAAATAACCAGTTCAGTAATTTGAAATAAAGGAGGGCAGAAGGTCAGATGTGCTTTCAACATTAAACTCTGCTACTCTCTTCTAGCAAAGAAATATCCAAGCATGATCAAAGTGACTTATATAAGGACCCAGAGCCCCCGCCTGTCCAGAGTCGGGAGGAAACTGCTAAAAGCCACTCATGTGCCATTTATGATTCATTCTTTATGAGCCACACAGCTGTTTATAACCATATTCTCATCCACGCATGCTTGTCTCAATGACAATCTCAAAGATAATGAGAAAATAGAAGAGTCCTCCCTATAAAACGTTCAGCGTTCCTCTATCTGAAAAATAAGAATTGCAAGGCTCCGAACATCACTCAAATAAATTCAAAGTGCCGAAAAATCAGTCATTATTTGAGCGGTAAAAGAAATCCTCATTCGATTATTTTTCCAGCCTTCTTCACATTTATCTTCGATTTCTCCATTTTAAATTATTCTAGTGGTTATCTCTAATTTATCCTCCAAAGCAATTGTTTGGTTCTTGACCTGCTGCTGGGATCAACCCTTTTAACCCCACTCCCGCTTCTCCCAGGGTCAGACTGCCTCACACTAGGGCACAGCCTACTAACTCTGGCTTCCATGTTGAGAATCTCTTCACTCCAATCTACTGTGTAGCATGCTATTTTAGAGACAGCATGAGCCCGTGGGTGATTCTGTGGCATCTGCCTACCCACCATCTCTCCCACCATTGGGAAGTAGGAGGCAGAAACACTTTCCAATCAACTTCCAGTTTTTTCCATTCTGTAAATGCATAAATGCTAGGACTGCCCCCAAATAAACTAAATCGTAAATAATCACAAAAATCATAAAAATCCCCTCACTCCCCTCCAACAAGTCAAAATCATAAAGCCAAAGGTTTTCACATCAGTGTGCTGGTCAGAGGAAAACAAAGCGAGGGAAAGAGGGACACCACGGTACCTACCTTATGTCTTCCTCGGAAGACATTTGCAGTGGCCCCCTGGCCTAAGATATCAGACAAAAGCCACAGATGGTTAGAAGTGCTCTGCATCTCGGCTCGCTCGGGTGCTTCTCCTCACGCTGAGGGAAAAGAAGAGATTTGGATGTGTGCTGTTAACGAAATCACACTGCCAAGAAACAAATGCCAGCCACATCTAGTCTGAAGTAGGACTACTCACTATTTACTGCCAAGCAGAGCTGCATACAGAGTCCAGTGTTAAAAATGATTCTAACAATGTTAGAGGATGAAACACTATGTGGGCACTATAGAAAAAAGCCCCACACTATTAAACAGCGGACACACAATCAGTTGTTTTTGTTATGCTTTGGAGATAGTGTTTTACCATTATTTCCCAGCCTAGCTTTGAGGTCTCTATATAACCCAGCTTGGTTTTCTGCCTTGGCCTCCAGAATGATGGAACTGCAGGTAGACCTGGCCTTTTTGTGGATGAGTGTATGGATTTGTGCGTGTGACGCTGGAGGAGGTGGGAGGATGTCGGACCCCAGGAGCTGGAGTTAGAGGCCGTGTGATCCACCTGCTGTGGTGCTGGGAGCTCAACTCCCACCCTCCTCAACACTGAGCCATCTCTCCAAAACCCCCATATTGGGCTTTTTTTCTTCAGATATTCAATTTAGTTTGCATCTCAATTTTTTTTTTTTAAAAATCCCTTCATTATCTAATATTGTCTCTGCCAATTAGAGTAATATCGACTACTTATTTCCTCCAACTGTTCCGAAAAGATTAATCATTGATTAAAAAAAAATTTTGACACAGGGTCTCATATAGTCCACAATGGCCTTGAACCTGCAATCTTTCTGCCTTCGCCTCCCAAATGCTCAGAGGCAAATTAAAGAAATTAGCACAATACTAACAAAAAACAATCATCACCATGTAATAGTTCCATAATGCAAAATTTCATCTACAGAGAAACCGTGATTGAGAAGTACAAAACTTATTATTCCTGAAAAGTCAGCAACCCCTCGGCCTCTGTTTAAGGACAGGTTCCTGGGCTAGCGAAACAAGTGGCTCAGTGGGCGTAGGTGCTTGCTGCCAGAGCTGGCGATCCAAGTTCAGTCCTGGACCCCATGTGGCAGAAGGAAAGGACCATCTGTGCTACAACATGCATAAACACACACAATAAATAAAACGTAAAAAAATTAAAAAGCGGCCACATATCAAGTACATATGACCAAGTTTTTTGTTGTTGTTGTTCTTTTTGTTTTTTTTTTTTAAGACAGGGTTTCTTTGTAGCTTTGGAGCCTATCCTGGAACTAACTTTCGTAGACCAGGTTGGTCTTAAACTCACAAAGATCCACTTGTCTCTGCTGAGTGCTGGGATTAAAGGTCACTAACGCCCAGCCATATGACCAAGTCTTAAGAAGCACCAACAGTGACTTGTCCTTTTAACATGGGGAAGCCATGCAATAAAAAAAAAAAAAAAATGGCACCCACATTAGACACATCAGACTCCTTCAAGCCTGCTGTAAGTTCAGAGCACAAAAATCTTACCATCCATTTCCAGAAAGTTAGCATTCCAGTTTTCCAAGGATGGTTAGGAACATAAAAAATGGCCAAGGGTCCACGTTTCACCAATCTCTTCTACACTAGCTATATTTATAATTTTATCACCTGTATAATTTAGATATGTAATTGCCCATCCAACCTATTTGAAAGTAAGCAATAAGAATAACACTCACTAGCTGGATGGATGTCCTGTGTGTGTGAGAGAGAAAGAATTAGACTCCCTTTTCATAAATAATAAATGCATTTACCAGTTATTGCATTTCATTCAAGAGGTGATAAACCCAAAAATGTATGGAAAACTTTTCCTAGTTGCTTCTTGCTGTCAGATAACTAAATGAAAGGCAGTATCAAGTACTTATATGTATCTAGTGGATAACTGAAAACACCTTAGCACGCTTACCTGCCCTCTATATACTAATATACAAAGACGGGACCACGACAGTGACGGTTTCAACTTTCTTCCAACAACCCCCTCACGACTAATGCATGACTCAGCACACCCACCAGAAGCTCCCCGAATTTTGACAAGCATATAAACTGGCGTTCAACAAGTACATTATTGGTGACGCTGTCGTCAGTCTACTTCCTTTAATTGTTTAAAACGAAAGTTACCAAGGATAAAACAGGTTTGGTGGCATGGTGTACGGACAAAGTTCCAGGATTTCCAAACTCTACCTCACGTCAACCATTTATTCGATAGGTAGTACAGGTTCCAGAGTGGGAAAGGTCGGGTTTTGATTACGCATTTGACAGTTCTCGGGGAGAACCTCTCTTGGGACGACCGACAAAAAATACCAGGGAAACGGATGAGGCAAATAAATCCAAAAGTCAGGTCAAAGAGGAACTAGAAAACATGGGAATTTGCAATTTTGCCTGTGTACATTAAAGAAAAAAAAAGTCTCGTATTGGTAGCCTCGGGTGAGACAACCTTTGAGAACGTCTGTTCAGTTGCCAGTCCATTTAAAACGTGTCAGCTGGGCCAAGGGTGCGAGCGGGGAGTCAGCTCGGGGCTGGGCAGCCCTTTTGCCCCGCCGCCCGGGCCCAGCCGGGGCGAACCCGGGTGAGCGCGAGGCTGCGGGACCCCTCAGGGCCGCGGCCCCGCACTGACTCAGCACCCGCCTGCCTCCCCGAGCCGACAGGGGACAAACCCACTCCCCCCGAAACCGACGACCCCGCCCGATCCCTCTTACCCAGCCGAGTCTCCACCGCGCACA